AGAAAATCTAAAGTTCATTAACTTGTAAAGTTGTCATGCCTTATCCCTCATTTTCATATGTATGAGCCACTTCTACACGTATTACTATTTTATTATTGACCTATTTATGATGTATTCTCTCCTTATCATAATATAAGGTGTTTTTTAAAAATTTTACTTAGTTCACAATATAAAACATTAAATTATTAATGTATGTATGCATGTATATTCAAATATACTATTATTTTATTATATTCCGCTCAAGTAATTAGTAAGAGAATTATGAATAAATTAAATATTATTTTATTCCATTTAAGAGTGTGAATAGAAAAATAAATTTTTTAAAAAACTAGTATTTAAACTAATTTTTTTAAAAATATAAATTAATTAATAATAATTTAAATGAAATAAATATTTATGTTTCATTCTTTAAAAATAAACACACGCACCAATTAACACTCACTTGGGTCTGTGGTTGGAGGGCTGGTGAGGACGTGACTTGAGGATTTAAAGTTGGAGAGCGAGAGCCCGTTGACATCAAGCACGATGACGCGGTCTCATCAGTGGAGAAGAGAAACTTTTTTCAGAAATAATTTTACATTACAAAAAAGGTTACAATCGAGTTTTTGTTTAACCTTTTTTAATTATTTTTCAATACAACTTTAAAATTGATAACACTTTTTCAGAATTTTTCAATCAAAATTCAAGTCTTTTAATGGGTCCTCAATAAATTGTCTTGGAAATTTAGGTGTGAAAGATAGTTGAACCGTGAAGTTTGATGTCTTGTTGATGGTACGCAAATAATTAATATATTTTTCTTTTTAATTATAGTTTGGTGTGTGTATCATAAGGGTCCGTTTGAATAATAATTAAAATAAAAGAACAAATTGACTATAAGTTTATGTTCGTTTGAGATTTTCAACTTATTTTTGTTACAAATGATCCCCTTTAACTTTTAAAAATAGTACAATCTAGTTTTTATAATTAACATAAGCTAATTTTAACAGTTAATTGACTAAAAAATGATAAAAAAAGATATAAAAATTATTAAAAAGGAATAATAAAATTTTCTTGGATCTTTTCTGTAATTTTGAGGACTTGTTTGTAATTCTTGAATCATTTGCTGTAATTTTTTTTGTCACTTCTATAATTTTAAAGTCCTTTTCTATAATTTTTTGGCTTATATTATTTTCAAAAGTTGAAGAAAAATAATTGTATAAAAAATAAATTTAGGGTTCAAATGCTCTCACACCTATAATTTAGGAGTTAATTTGCTCTATAATTAATCAGGATAGATGATATAATTAATTTATAAAATTAATTTTAAGTATAATTGAAAAGAAAAATTGAAAATAAAATCATGATTTTGCAGAAAACATCCAAACACTTCTCCTGTGTATATTAAAATCAATTATAAACTCTAAATCATAATTTTCTTAAAAATATCCAAACATCCTTATTACTCCCATCCGTTCAAAAATATAAGGCATTTTTAATTGAATTTCACTCTCAATAAAGTAGTTACCTAATTTTTAATTAATCCTATCTTTTCATATTTACCCCTATTCAACACTCTATAATAAATATAAAGTCATTATTAATAGGGGTACTTTTGAAAAAAAGGTAATGATTACACCTTAAAATACAAAAAATGTCTTATATTTTTGAATATTTAACTCCTCAAAAAATGCCTTATATTTTTTAACAGAGAAAGTATATGTTAAAATCAATTATGAACTTTAAACTATAATTTTTTTAAAAAAATATATAAACACACACACACACATGCTGAATTAAAACAATTGTGAATTCAAAACAAAAATTACCTTATAAATTACTATATATTACCTGCTTTTCAATTCAGCATCTCAATTATATGTTCTTACATGGTCCAAAAAAAATTATACTTTATGAAAAACCATATAAACTCTTTTACAAATCATGATTTTCTATTCATAGTTAATTTTGACATGTATATGAGTGTTTGAATATTTTAAGAAAATTTTAAACTTGATAGCACATTTTTTGGCATCTTCCAACCAAATAGTCAAATCTATCTTTAAATGGAACCTTACCATATTGCATTGGAAACTTGGGTAAAAATGATAGTTAATCATGAAGTTTGGTGTATTATTGTTATATCATAAACTAATTATATTTTTTTCTTTGCTATTCTTAGAGGCTATGCAAATGTTATTAGAGATAAAAAAAAAAAAATTAAAGTCCCACATCTAGAAGATAGTTAATAGATGTAGCATATATAAAGTTTAGGGTATATTTAATCAAAAGCCTTAAGCTGTTTTGGTGAATTGAAGTAGACTACTTGAAGTATACTTAATATAAGGAGTTTAACAAACTTATAAATTATAATTTTCAAAAAAAAAAATAAAACTTAGATCCATTTGCTTATTTTTGTCATGAATATAATTACAGTCCATTTAAAAGGACAAAATGTTAAGATTTGTTTAGAAAATTAGTTGTAATGGATATAAGTAAATGGATCTAAATCTTCTGTGCAAAATAATAAGCACTATACCTTAAATATGATCATTTAAAATAATCTCTCAATCAAACCATTTTAATAATTATTTTTAATTATCTACAATCTTAAAATTGATGAGATTTTTTTTTTGGTTGGAATTTTCCAATCGAATATTCAAGTCTTTGAATGGGTCTTTGCTCCAAAAATTGTGTTGAAAACTTGGGTGAGGATGATTGTTAGTCGCGAAGTTTGGTGTATTGTTAATCAAAGTCTAATTAATTAATTATTTTTCCTTGCTATTATAGAGACTAGGCCAACTAATAATTTGCAAAATAGCATGAACTTATTTTAAGAAGTTTATTTAAAATAATTTGACTACTTTCACAATCACTTTTTTCTTAATTATTTTTCTCTACAATTTTAAACTTGATTATACATTTTTTAAATTCTTCCAATAATATTCAAGGCCTTTGAATGGGTCCTCACTCATAAAATTGGGTTGGAAACTTGGGTGAATATGAATTTAGAAGTGAAGGTTGGCATATTATTGATCATAAAATAATTATCTATTTTCTTTGTTATTGGAGTTTAGGTCAACTTATAATTTGTCAAATAAAAACAAAAAATGACGTCCGTTTGCTTATCATAAATATAATTATATCCTCCTATATTTAAGGAAAAGATAAAGTGAGAAAAAAGGACCAAGCGTTGAAATTTAATTAGAGAATTATTTATATGGACCTGCAAAATAATATGCACTTCCTTTAAAATGTTTATTTAAAATAATTTCTCAATCAAGTAATTTTATTAATTATTTTTATATACCATTTTAAACTTGATAAGACGTTTTTAAAATTTTTTCAATCAAATATTCAAATCTTTGAGGTCCTCTCACCCAAAATTGTGTTAGAAACTTGAATGAAAATGATAGTTAATCATAAAATTTGGTGGATTTTTTAATATAGGCAAATTAATATATTTTTGCTTACTATGATAGAGGCTAGGCCAACACATAATTTGCAAAACAATATTAATATGTTTATTTAATACAATTTGGCATTTCTTTTTGTAGAAACAATTACTCTTTATTTCTGCTTATTCAATAAAAGAGATCCTTAAATGATTAAAATTAAGTCAAATACTTAATTTTAAAAAAGAAATAATTAAGAAGGAATATGAGAGAAGTTTAAGTATTTTTTGCCTATTTGAGGATAAGGCACTTATTTGGGAATAAGCATGCCTATTTCATAGTTTGGTTAAAAGCTAGAAAATAAAAGCAATGAATATGAATTTCCTTACAAGTCATTAATATTTATTAATTCTGTAAAATACAAACTTCTCTCATTTTATTATCATCAAAATTAGGGATCAACAGAAAAAAAAAACTTGTGTAAATCTTCGTCTTCATTTTTAACAAGAAAATTGACTTTTGTATAAGTAATTAGAGCATTAAATTTGTCATGACTATTTTTTTTAAAAAAAAACTTATGTAGATCTTTACATTTTCAACCTAAGTCCTACAATTGATTATTAAATTTGGTATTGCACATGTAATAATTATAGGGAATTAACATATAAAATAAAGATTTTAACTCAAAAAAGTTTTTCAATTATTTTGCCTTACATTTTAATTTCAATTTAAGTCTAAAATTCCTGCAATAGAATTTTTAATTTATTTGGACCTCATTTTTAATAATATGACATCATTGATCATTTAATAAAATTCTCCTTTTTTTTGAATCGCGGGCCACAAATTTCTAAGGGTTAGGTTTGAGGAAAGAGTTCTTTTTATGTCCGAAGTCTTCAAACGATATCCTATGAGCAACACTTCCTTGTTTTTTTTTTTTTGGTTGGTTTATCCTTCTTCCAACATGATCATTACTAAAAATTAAGATGTGAATATTTTTTTGAAAATCAAAATGTTAACAACCTTTTTTTGAAATTTAAACGTGAGCGAGGGAGAAAGGCCGTAAGCTAGACGCAAGTGAAAGCTAACGCGTGAAAAATGAGTGGTGGTGAGGAAGCTGCTTTTAAATGTTGAGTCTGGCTAAGGAGACCTGAGAGTTGATCAAAAACACTAACTCATTGAATTGCTCACTTTCCCCTATCTTTTGTTTCATTGTATTTGTCCCCTAAAATTATTACCCTAGGCATTTTCTAGAAAAAAAAATTTGATTGTTAATGTTCTCTTCATTTTAAATTACCTACTTCCAACTAACCCTATCTTTTTATATTTACTTCTATTAAACACCTTATAATAAATATAAAGTCATTATCAATAGGGGCACTTTTGAAAAAAAGGCAATTGTTCAAAAAACTAAAAATGTCTTATATTTTTTAACATCTAACTCCTCAAAAAATGTCTTACATTTTTAAATAGAGGAAGTACTAATTAGAAAATATAGGACTTTATAAAAAGGACAATAGAGAGTAGTTAGCACTTGAAATAATCCTTCTCGTCTAAAATATAGAAATTAGATAACTAATTTATAAAGATTAAAATATAAGTTAAGATAGTTGTAAAAATATATATTTCTGAATGCATGAATGGATGGCACTCTCTAATCTCCTCCCCAAAACAACCAGTCTCCTCGCCGATTGGTAGCTTCCCATGCATTTGACTGAGTCATGCATTAGCATGTATCCTCTGCCCAACTAATTTATTTAAACAATCCATTACATTTTAACAATAATTCATTTTGTATTGGTCTTTATCTATAAATAATTTTTTAAGGGGTTCTTAAATGTTATTATTTCTTGATTGAATGTGTGTACATGTATTCCTAACTACTATTGCCTTTCTTTAATTAGTCTTTTTTCGGGCCTGGTGAAATTGTTTTCTTCTATATTAATTGTCAAAAAAAGAAATAAAATTTTTTTATTTAAAAGACGAAAGTCAATGAAATAAAGTGTTCTGCTCCTCTTCCCAGAAGTCTACAAGCCATCCATGAAGCATAAGCCCGCAATGAAGTCTATATATAATCCTACCATGCAATTCTCATGCCTCACATCTCATGAGCTAAACAAAATAACTAGAAAGAAAACACAATTATCAGATACTTGTGTCTTATAATTCTCTCTTGTTGTTTTAGTTCTTGAAGACTTTTCATCTTTATGATGGTCTCTTTGTTGAAATTTCTTTGCAGATTATTGACAACAACATTATTTTTGTTGCATTTAACATGCAGTGTGGTCACTAGTGGGAAAGGAGTAAAGTACTGCATTGAGAAGGAGAGGAAAGCTCTGCTCCTCTTCAAACAGGGCATCCATAGTAACTTTGTTGGTATGTTATCCACGTGGACCAATGAAGAAGATAAGGATTGTTGCAACTGGAGAGGAGTTCACTGCAACAAGGAAACAGGTCATGTTCAAATCCTTGATCTTCGTGGTGGCGTTGATTTATCATCAGTTTATTTGAGAGGTAGACTCAATATTACTTCAATAATAGAGTTGCAAGATCTTGAATATTTAGATCTCAGTAACAACTATTTTTTTTCAAGTGAGATCCCTGAGTCTATAGAGTCATTTACCAACTCAGGGTATCTCAACCTCTCTCTTTCTTCGTTTATTGGGAGTATTCCTTATCAATTAGGAAAGCTTTTAAATTTACTCTCCATTGATTTGGGTAACAATAACTTGGATGGAGCTATCCCTTGGCAAATTGGAAACCTTTCAAAGTTGCGGTGTTTGAATCTTGGAGGAAACTATCTTGTTGGAGCGATTCCTTATCAAATTGGAAATCTCTCCATGTTGCACACTCTGGAGCTTAGCAGTTATAGTAATGGTCTCACAATAGTTGACCAAAAAAATCATAATACGGAGTGGTTATTAAAGCTCTCTTCATTGACAAAAGTTGACTTGAGTTATACGTGTGATGCTGTCTATCCTCATCTCTGGGTGCAGATGATAGGTAAACTCCCAAAACTAAAAATATTGAAATTGGCAAGATGTGGCCTTTCTTATACCCATAACTTGAACTCATCATTATCTCATTGGCACTTCAATCTCAGCTCTAGCCTTCAAGAGCTTTATCTAAGTGATTGCAGTCTTTTAGCTAATAATATTCACTTTCTATTTTCTCACTTTTATTTTCCTTCCCTCCTTGTTCTTGATCTCTCTTCTAACAAGTTGAACTCTTCATTATCTCATTGGAACTTCAATCTCACCTTTAGCCTTCAAAAGCTTTATCTAAGTGATTGCAGTCTTTCAACTAATGATATTCACTCTCTATTTTCTCACTTTCATTTTCCTTCCCTCCTTGTTCTTGATCTCTCTTCTAACAAGTTGAACCCATTATTATCTTATGGGCACTTCAATCTCAGCTTTAGCCTTCAAAAACTTTATCTACGTGATTGCAATCTTTCAGCTAATGATATTCACTTTCTATCTTCTCACTTTCATTTTCCCAGCCTTGTTGTTCTTGATCTCTCTTGTAATAATTTGATATCACTGAGGGCTTTGAATTTTGGCTCTAACCTTCAAGGTCTTTATTTATCCAATTGTAGCATTTCATCAGATAATCTTATTTTTACATCATCCAATCCCAATCTTACTTCTCTTGTCTATCTTGATCTATCTTTCAATCATTTGACATCATCAACCTTATTCTACTGGATTTCCAACTTCACCTTTAATCTTCATGAATTGCGCCTCTATGATAACTTGCTTGGAGGTCTAATTCCATATAGTTTTGGAAACATAATGAGCTCTCTTGAAGTTCTTAGTCTCCACAATAATAAACTCCAAGGTGAAATCCCACCATCATTGGGGAATATGTGCACATTGAAGGAGCTAGAACTTTCCTATAATGACTTGAGTAAGGAGCTTTTGAGTTTTGTTTCTAATGCTTCATGGTGCAATGGACACTCATTAGAACGGTTGTCATTATCAAGCAATCAATTGACAGGCATGTTACCCAATTTTTTGATTTTCCCCTCATTGCAACATATAGATTTGTCTGATAACAACTTGAAGGGGAAAATACTTGAATCTCATTTCAAAAATATCTCCAATTTGATGTCTTTGTCATTTTCTGAAAATTCATTGAGCCTGAATATTAACAGTAATTGGGATCCTCCATTTCAATTACAAAGTTTGGAAATGGCTTCTTGTGTGATAGGTCCTAATTTTCCAAATTGGCTTCAAAATCAAAATCAATTAATCACTTTGGATATTTCTAATGGTGGTCTTTTGGGTTTTATACCGAAGTGGTTTTGGCCACTATTGAAATATGTATATCACCTGAACATCTCATACAATAATTTTTTTGGTGAAATTCCAAATCTACCACTCAAGTTTTATTATAGGCCAATGATAATTTTGACTTCAAACAATTTTGAAGGCTCAATTCCATCATTTTTTATACAAGCAACAAGCCTTGAGCTTTCCAAAAATAAATTCTCAAATTTGGTTCCACTTTTATGTGGCCAAATTGATGGTGAAGGCTTTAGTTTTTTGATGCATTTGGCAATCAATTAAAGGGTCATCTACCAAATTGTTGGAGCCACTTAAACTCATTAAAGTTTGTTGATTTGAGCAATAATAATCTGTCAGGAGAGATCCCACACTCCATAGGTGACCTTATGAATTTGGAAGCTTTGATTCTGAAAAATAATAGCTTAATTGGAGAACTTCCTTCCTCATTGATGAACTGCACCAACTTATTATTGTTAGACGTGTCAGAGAATAAACTATTAGGGCCTATACCTTCATGGATTGGGAAAAGCCTCGGAGAATTGCAAATTCTAAGCTTATGGATGAATAATTTTTATGGTAGCTTGCCACTAAATATTTGTTACTTAGCATAGATTCGACTCTTGGATTTATCTTGCAATAATTTGTCCAATAAAATTCCATCTTGTCTTCATAATTTTACTGTCATGGCACAAGAACACGTCAATTTAACAGAAGCAAGTTACCATTGGTATATGATCAATAACACATACTTCGGATCTGTTAGTGAAAATTTTGAATTCTACATAACATTGATGTGGAAGGGTGAAGATGTGTCATTCAAGAAGCCGGATCTCCTTCTCAAAAGCATCGATCTATCTAGCAATGCTTTCACAAGTGAAATACCAAAAGAAGTTGTGTATCTATTAGGATTAGTTTCTTTGAATTTATCAAGAAACAAATTGCAAGGGAAAATCCCTGTTGAGATTGGGAATCTAGAATATCTAGAATTCCTAGATTTGTCAAGAAATAAATTGTCAGGCACAATTCCTCTAAGTCTTGCTCATATTGATCGCCTCAGTGTATTAGACTTGTCAAATAATAATCTCTTTGGAAAAATCCCCACTGGAACACAATTGCAAGGCTTTAATGCATCATGTTACGAACGAAATCTTGATCTTTGTGGAATGCCACTTGACAAAAAGTGCTTCGAAGATTCAATGCCTTCGCCTCAAATATTTGATCATCCTGAAGATGATGGTAACTCACTTTTCTCTCAACAATTTTACCTTAGCTTGGGAATTGGATTTGCTGTTGGATTTTGGGCCTTCATGGGACCATTTCTCTTCAATCGTTCTTGGAGACAAACCTATTACAGGTTTGTGAACAATGTAACAAATAGAATCCACGTCATGGTCACCATTTATGTGGCAAGATACCGCGCTAGGAATTAATTAGCAAGTACTTGCTAGATGGTAACAATTTTTTTTCCTCTTACTCTTACTCTTATTTATGTTTCAGCTCATGTTTTATAATAACTACGAAAAAAAAAAGAATCTGAATTGGTCAAGAGAGAAACTATAAAAATTATAGGTCTGTTTTTAATTAATTTTATTTTTGCCATTTGAGTTTTGACTGCTAATGAATAAGCTAAAATAAAAAAAATCAAGTGATTATAGTTTCAAAATGCTTAACATGTTGCTTTGTGTTTCTTGCAGGTTCTTAGCTTCTTAATTGATTTGGCATAGGATCATCTTTTATAGTTTATAATTTGTGATCCAAGTAATAATGGTTCATAAGAATAGATAAGTAAAAGTAGCAAAGTTAAGCTTGTATTTGAAGTTTCTTTGTATCGTTCAGTGATTGCCCATTATATATATATAAAAAAAAATCCCTTGCTTTGTGTTTGGGGACTGGATGTAGGACATGCTGATCCAAATCAGGATAAATTGAGGGTCTACTTTTTCCTTTATTTATTTTCTATAGGATCTTATTTAAAAATATATGGTACATCAATAAAAAAAACTAAGAATCTCACATCAAATTAAAATAATCTTCAATAATAAAGATAAAAATATTTTTGCAATCTATTTATTATATTCTCATTAGATAACATCAAAAACATATCCCAACATAACTTAAATGAATCAATTACACTGGGCATATTTGATTGGACCTTGTTATATGCTTTGTTTAAAAATAAAAAATAAAAAAGAAGGCAAACATGAATTAGCTAAAAAATAAATGAGAAATGTACTATAGAAGTTTAACATCTACTATGAGATAAAAAATAAGGGAAGTGAAAAGCTTAAAATGAGAAATGGTTTGGTTAAGCTTTTGTCTCATGTTTATAAAAATAGACTTTAATTTTAAAATAGACCAATGCATATAAAAAAATACAGTCAGTGTTAGAGATATGGCAGTAGTGTGAGGTTCACCGTGGTTGGCGTTATAGAAAAATCTGGGTTGAGTTTCTTTCCATTAAGTTTTCCCTCTATTGTTCCTCCATAGTAAATCTAAATCATTTAAGTTAAATTTGTGCTTTTAAAAATTATCAAATTCAATTTAACATCCAGATCTACAATATTTCTTTATTATAGAGGAGAAAACTCAACTCTGAAAAATCTATAGTAAAGATAGAGGGGGTAGAAGAAAACTTCATATAAGTTCCCTCATAAATTACTCTTGCTACCCCTTTTCTCCAAAAGAAAATGAAGCAGAAGGCTCGAATTTGGCAGTTAATTTTAAATTTTTAAAAATTTTCAATTAAATAATGAGTTGTCACTATTGGTTGAAGATAATTGCTTGTTTAAAAAAAATATAATCTCAAGACTTAATTGAATAACTTGATCTTTGGCAGCATACAAACATAAGATGTGTAGGGGATCATCATTAAGCCAATCATGAGGTATGTAGGCTTTGTACTTAGAATGATTAAAATGGACATTTCAGATAGCCCATAGTAAGCCCAATACTTGGCCCAACATGACATGACTTAAAATAACCTTGGTGATTTTTTTAAAAAAAATTATTTTGATATTATGCACTCTCAATTAAAGTAACTCTCCAAAAAACATGTTTTATCCAACTTAAATATGAAATACTGTGCTTAAATGCCTATAATTCATTTCATTAGAAATAATATTTGTTGACAAGGTAAAGAGGTGATTGAAAAGCACTGTGTTAATATTTTTAAGGCTAAAATACATACAATTCTTTTAAACTTTAAGTCAACCACCTATAACCTTTAAAATTTTAAAAATATAAAAAAACACCTTGAACTTTTAAATTTTGTTGATTAATTTTTTACCGTTAAAACAAACTGCAAAATTTAATAGAAAATGACACCTCAAACTAATTAAATAGAACACATCAGCAAATGACATAGAATTTTGAATATTTTATTTTTATATTAAATTAAAGGAGGGTGATTCTGTCATTTGGTCATAAGAATCCCTAATTTCATTTTTCTGTACTATCATCTAATTACTTCAAAGCTATTCCTATGCTCTAGTTAGATTTTTTTCCTTCGTATCTTCGACCTTGTTTCTTAAGGGTTCTTCATTTCTTCAAATGGCAAACATCTTCGTGAATGCCGTTATTATATATGAATGTCCCCACGCAGCAATCATCCTTTGAAGTTGATGAGACATGGGATTGGCTAATAGTTTTTTTTTTTTAATCTCTCTCTTCAACTTCTTGTTTTTTATATGCCTCTGCCTTTAGCTTATGGCTCTCTCTATTTTTTCTTGTGCTTTACAATTTTCCCTTTTTCAATGATATTTTAATATTTTTAATTTTAAAAAAGTACATTTATATTGCTTTATTTTTTTTCCTTTTAATCTATTATATTTCTTGCAAACTTTTTACGAAGATATTCATGTTTAAAGTTCCAGGTTTCACAGAAAATCTCTTTGGAAGCACCCAATTTATAAAAGTTCAAGTGTCTTCAGTTGTTATGCAGAGATTACAAGGAAAGCTTATAGGATTACGAACTAGGAAGAGATTTAAAGCTAATATTCAATATTCAACTATAAGGATGCAAATTAATTAATGGGCCAATCTTGTGGTCAGATTTGCTTTGAGCAATGCTACATGTTCTCAAAAGTTGAACCATCAAGTGCTGGTTTTTTTTTTTTAAAAAAAAAAACGCAACTATTTACAAGTGCTTGAGAATAATAAATCTGGCATATCTTATCATAGACATGTAATTATGTTAAACTGCTGATTTATCAATTTATTGTAATAAGAACATTAATTGAGTTGCAATAAAAGTTCCTTTTGACTATGATTTGGTCTATGTCTAACTTCTATATTCATTCTGTTGATGTTGCTTTTTAATAGCTATAATGTAAGAGAAGTTTTTGTCATGCCATTATATCATTATCATTATATCATGAAATAAAATTTGAAATATTTTCCTTATATCATTATCTTCTCTAAGAGGAAGAATTTTTGTCATGTCTTCATCTCCAAACTCATACCAAATATTAGAGAAGTTTTCATTTCCCAAACTTCCCAGTAAATGTATTATCTAAAAAAAACTGAGTAAGTCTATATCATAATTTTCATACACTGCAATGTCCCCCCACGTATGGACCCAATGTGGTATGCAAATAAATTCCCAAGCTTATTGTTGGCATTTTCAATGGCTGGCATAAATTATGAAAAAGATCATTTTAACAATAAAAGCACCTTAACATAAAAGCTATGACGAACCTCTAAGCTATGTTAATGATAAAAGCACATTAACATTGAAAAGCATATTGGCGTAATTTTATTTTAAACTTATTATTTTCAGTAGTTTATACTTAATTCTTTTTTTCCCCCCATAACAGGGAAACCTAAAACATTGAACAAACAAAAAAACGCAAAAGGAAAACACGAATCCAAAAAAGCTAATTAGTGATGCCAGCTCCCTGTAACAGCAAAAAGCCCTCCTAGCCATGAAATATCCTCAACTTTGAGAGTTGAAACATAGTAGCCTATAATTGTTTCATTTTATTATATCTTTTGCTTTGACTAGAAGACAAAAATTTGCTAATTTCAACTTACTTTGTGTTTCAACACACAGATTGCACGTGAATATTCATAATAACATTTGAGGCAGTGAAAATACAAGGGAAGTAAGAGTGTATGCTATGTTTTTGTGAGAAACATATTTTAGAAGTGAAGTCAGGAGAGAAATGCTGTGTAAAGACTATTTCTGTAGAAACTTTCTTGAAAAGAAATATGTGATACAAGTTTTTGTTAAGAAAATAATTTTGATTCAAATTGGTATGGAAAAAGAATCACAATCTGCAAAATTATTGCAGATACTCTGTTTTCTTTTGCGAAATTTCCGTACGCACGTTGACAATGTGAGAATGAAAAGGATCAGCTAGAAATTGTTAGAGGTTGACAAAAGTGCCCTTAAATGGATCTATGTGTTTGATGAAGGGATAAGAATATTGAAATTAAAATTCAATGTTATTTGACTAAGTGTTTTTATTTGACCTGAGGTGGCACTTTCCATTAGATTTAACAGTTTTTTGACTGTAAAAAATTAATGAACAATGTTTGAGAGTTTAGGGTGTCATTTTTACATTTTTAAAGTTGAAGGGATTGCATGCAATGATTTAAAATTCAGGAGAGT